TTAGCCTAAAGGTCTGTTTAAAAAGAGGAAGGTTTTCCCTTCTTGATCCTGTGAGGAATAAGAAACTCGATACTTTGCTTATAAAACAGGGAGTGGATAGCAAAATAAGAGTAAATGGCAAGATACTGCTGCAGAGGGAAATGAAAAAAGTTTGTTTCTCTCCAACTTTTTTAAAATAGCAGCCCTACAAACTGTCATATCACAAATTATATAAAATAAATACAGAAGGATGGTAGGAAATGGCAAAAGCTATACTTGAGCTTGCTAAGCAAAATTATTACCTTCTAACATGTCAGCCAAGATATGAGAGATTACAATTGAGACATCCCAAAAGTGAAAATATTTTTCAGTTGTTGCACAAAAATATTTTTCAGTATACTGCAGCAGGCTTAGAAAATATTAGAAATAGAGATTTCTTTCATTAAGACAGACTTCTCTGGTACGTAGTATAATGTTATCATTCTCAATGATCTGGTCAGATTTGTTTCATAATCCTCTGTTTGCATGTAGCAAACAACACCTATAGATACTGCAGAGGTTCAGAGCTGTGTGTGGTGGGATGGTGCACAGCTTGGAAACTGTTCTCCTGGCAAAAGTCATGGCTGCTTTTCAACAGGACCATTTGGACTTGATCTTTGAATTACAGCATCCTAGAGGCTGGAAAGCTGAAATATGAAAACTGTAGTCTCCTCATCTTCTCGTCTTTGGTGAGTTCATGCTGGATTCTGTGGCACAGTACTGTACTAAACAGCTGTTGTTTTGATTCCTCTGTTTAAATAGATTGGATTAGAAGGGGAGAAAAATCATCATCTCCTCCCCCTCACCATTCTGCCCAAAGCTTAGCTACTATGAAGACAAATCTTATTTGTTTCCTGTCAGAAAAGGCTTCACTGACATGGAGTATTTGATTTTTTGGAGGCTGGTTCTGATAGTTTTCAGCTACGTTAAGATACAAGATCTAATTATTGTAAATTGCATGTAGGTAGGCTGCATGTAAGCTCTTCTCTAAATCTTTATTAATGCCATTGATTTGGGTAGGTTTTGCTGTATTAACTGACATGCTCTGGAATTAGAGCAGGTTAGCTGAAATAAGGATCTGTTTCAATTTGTGCTGTTAGGTCTAGGAAACACTTTGTTTAGCATTGCAGCTGCAGGAGATAAGTACTGTTTTCTGAAAAGCAACAGAGAATATCCATTGAAGTTCCCTGTATACTCTTAAAGCTAAAGGCAAAACATTTTGATTGTTAAATCCGTTATTCTCTCATATCCTATGCTTATATCAAGAAGACCATTTACATGTTGATGTAAGATGGAAACAAGATCTTTTGTGTAACATTAAAAATATTCTTGATTTCTACTCTAAGTATTAAAAACCTACTGCCAGTGAATTCTAACACCTCATTCTATGCTCAGAATCCACCAAAATAACAGACTAGGAAAATGAGATCTGAGAGATACGATCTCTCCAGTGGATCTCAGGGAAATTCTATCAATTTTTTTTTTTAAGATAAAAAAGTTTTTGCAAAGTTACACAAACCTTTGCATACTGGGGCTAAAGCTTATGCAAAGCCTGAGAGGAAGAGAATGGGAGAGAGATGGAAAATTGTGTTCTTTAAATTAGAAAACAAATTAGTGACATTTAACAGGGGACATTAGAAAACACGTTTGTTGTGAATCCCAAGCATCATAGTATGAACACTTCCCACTAATGCACACCCATGCCACACCTTTCAGACTTTGGTTCAGTCCATGTTTTGAGCAGATGGCTCTGGGTGTCCACATCCACTGCTCAATCAACAGTGTGCCTAAGGCTTGGAATGACACAAATTTATGTCACCTAGTAGCCTTTAGTGCTGCAAGTATTTTCAAAAAGGAGAGTGTAGCTTATTTGGTGTTATAATCCTTCTGATCCCTGAGCAAGTCCACATAACAAAGAATTCTCAGCCTGGCTGCCGGACTCTGTGGTAACACTTCAGTTACTGAAGCAAACTCAAACCTGGTGAGCTGTTCCACCAAATGTGTGAGCAGGGATGTGTGCACAGATAGGGTGGTGACACCACTGAGAGGGGAAAATAGCTAAAGATTGCCTTCCTCTCTGGTACTGAACAGCTTCAGAGAACAACGTCATTCTAACACTTGATGTCATTTTTTGGGCTTTTCAAATGATACAGGCAACTGAGGGTGCCCTGTTGAAAGTAACTAGTATTTGTTATTGGCTGGGAAAATGAGCCCTTTTCATGTATTCATATTCCAACTATTAATTCATACTGACTCACCTCATGGTCCGTAGGTTTATCACTAATTTGGCATCCAGCTCTGCATCAGATGTTACCACATAGTCATCTTCATTCTTTGGTAAATGAATCAATTCCCAGTATTTCTTCTGTGCTCTGTCAGCTATTTTTTGACCTGTCTTGGGAGCAGAAATCCATGAGAGATTTCTAATTGTGCATGTGTGTATAACAGACTTAAATAGTTTTCAAGAACTGGGATAGAGAGAGAGTTAAATTAGAGGAATGAATTCACTGAGCATTTCCTGAAGGCTCTTCCAAGGGATTTCATCTGTCTTTCACATGCAGTTTAGAACAGCTGTGGTCTGACTGAAGATCAGAACTTCCCTATTCTAAATTTATAGACCACAGAAGTAGGAAATGTGATGGGGGGACTTTTGGATAAGCAATATAGATTACTGGGATGTTTTGCTATAGCTAGCCTATCATGTTTCTCCATAGAGCTTTTTGTGAGTTCTGGTTTGCATTCAAAGGTAATTTCAAACTTTTAAGACATTTCTTTGCTTGAATTATACATTATAGGCTGAAAGTGTAAGTAGTAATCACAGAGCATTTATTTCAATGTTTATTTAGTTCCAGTGTTTTTCTACTGAGATCCCCTGTTGGTCACAGGCTGCTAGTTTTCCAATAGGTTGCAAAGACATGGAAAATCAACATTTTGAAGTTTTAAGTACGACTATTGAAATTGCTACAGAAATTTACATTTTTGTGGTTTGAGTTATGTTTTCAGCATTCCCTATAGTACATGTCTTGATTTGGATGGCTTGATAGACTCATCCAGATTGAGCAGCTGTCTTTCCTAGACCAGACTTAGCCAACTTCTCATTGGCAGCTGAAAAGCCACTTATTTAATGCAATTTACAGGGCACTTTAAATTGGTTTTCATGACAACTAATTTCAACCCAAGTTTTGCCTGTAATTTGAGATCTCTGCCAATGAACTTAACATCAAACAAAATTGTTGATTCACACTTGATGGGACATTTTTGGCATATAAATTGCAACGTAAGCTACTACAATTTGTCGTTAGCCAATGAAGTATCTATGCAGGGCACTGTAGCCTTGTGCTTCCCAAATTCAAGCAGGGTGTTAATCCATAAACTGCATTTACCCCTGTACTGGGGTGTGTCAGGGCCAGCTTGGCAGTCCCATTCTCCTACAGAGTAGAATTCTGAAGTCTGTTGACCTAGTTCTCATTAAGTTTTATTTTGATAAAACCTTTTGCCTTCCCCACAGCAAGGGAAAAGAGCACATGCTGAAATTTCAGAGAGGTCATTAAACAGATCAGCCTAAATCACATCTACTGCTCGTTTGGCACTTCGGTTTCTTCTTGTTGGAGGGGTTGTTTGCTTTTTTTAAGAATCATGTTTATCATCACACAATTTTGGAGATAATTTGTACCCTCCATTAATTCAGTAATGAGAAACCTTTAAAAATTGTGCAATTCTTCAAGTTAGAGCCACATTTAATAAGACTTAAATCAACATAGGAGTGGAAAAAAAGTGTGTTTTCCTTTGAGGAATTTGTGCATGTGCCTATCTTGTGCTGTTGCGGAAATGTCAGAAAATTCAGGAGAAAAGCTCATATCTTAGGAATTTTCATGAGAAGTGTATTCTTTTATCTTTGTGCTTCCTTCCAGTCTTGGTGAAACACTTCTGTTTAAATTGCAGAAGTCACTTTAAGCATATGTAGTTAGTTCTGTTTCCTAAGGTATGCATGCTAAAATCTAGAGGAGTATGTTGTTTATCCTGGAAATTTATCAGCCTGTAAAAAAACCAATCAAAACTTCAGGAAGTTTATCTTCACTAAGGACAAACCTGACCCCAGGCTCTGGACTGTTGGTTGAAAGGGACAGGCAGAGCAGTGCTGGCTGGAGATCTACATTGTTGGCCCAAACCTTTATGTCCACATTATCCACACACACCCATTCAGGTTGTTTGTCACTGGAATATTTACTTAATGTTGCCTTCCCCCTTCCCTTGTTTTTAATTCAATCTCCCTGTTGAGAGAAGACTGAGATTAAAAAATTAACCAAATGCCAACAAGAGAGAAAAAACAGTGCTCTGCCAGGGCTGGCTGTAGGGAAGGGATGGCAGCCATCCAGAAGCAAAGATGTAATTCTCAAAGAAAATAGAAAGCTGAAAGAACCAGCTGGGAAAAAGGAAACACATGAACAGAAAATGCAAAAGTGACACTAAGCCAGGGACCAAGCAGGTGAAACCCTGTCTCAAACTAATGCTTTTAATGTGTCAGTGCATGGTGGTGTTTGAACTGTATTTAGAGGCAGCACATGTGTGCTGGTGGACAGTTTATGCCAGGTGTCAGTGCAGAATGAAAAGATAGAACAATGTGTATTGCACAGCCTCTCAAAAATAAACCAACCCCCACCTACCATCGATAAAAAACCAAAAGTAGGTCAATTTTGCAGTAGTCTTTATTCCCTTCACTATGTTTAAACAAAATTGGCAATTAGTACATAAAAATCCTTTGCTGTTTTGTATTATGCTGCTAGGGAACTACTAATATGCAGAAATGGTTTTTAGGGGAGGAAAAAAGTATTTTTTTGTGAGTAGAGTCACCATCGGCACCTTGATTCTGGATTATCATGTTTTTGACTCAGTTCTTCTGCAATTTTAAAATCAACTCATGTTGATCCTTGTAATTTCACATGATTGTTTTAAACAGAAGGACTGCATGTCCAAAAGGAAAGTCTTATTAAAACATTTTATTTAAGATTACAGGTTATCCAAAGAACTGTCAGCCAAATGTAAAAAGTATTAGTTTCAGGATAATTTATGGACAGTGCTAATACAGATATATTAAAAAAATACATTGTAATTACACTGGTATCACTTCATGTTAATATGGTTTACTTCCTTCTTTGTCTGTTCCTTTGCCACAGTACTTTTCCAGACCAGAGGAGGGTATAAAAATGCTCCTGGCTTTTTCACCGTGGTCTATCAAAACCTACTTTTTTAGATACATTCTGTGTATTTTTTTTACAGGTGATAGTAGATGTGATGGATTCACTGAAACTAAAACAGCTAATGCCACTGCGTTCGCTTGAGTCTAAATATTAGTCTAAGATAACTGACACTTCAGGTAACATGAGCTTTTTTAAAAAGTGTTTTGTGAATTTTCTGGGAAGGCAAGAAAACCATATTAAGCTTACTTGCCTTGCTTTCATGAGTCTTTAGACATAGGCATAGAAGTTGTTAGTTGCAGTACTTCACTTGCAAAGTAAAGGGATCAGAGATTCTTCCTCTGTCCTTTGCCATTTTCATCAGTTTTACTCTTTGATATTTCTTAGCACTCCTTTCTCAGAACTATACATGTAGTATATATATTCTATATATAATGATATATGTATATATGTCTATATTATAAACCTGGAGGTCAGAGTTCCCACTCTTCAAAGAAAAATTATTAATTTAAGCATTTGAGTTGTTAGTGTTGTACAGCTGTTACACTGATTGAAAGCCAAGACATGGGTGGGGATATTCATGTGTGGTCTCCACACAGTTTAACAGTGTGCTGGTTGAGCATCACGTGTCTGTAATCTAACAAACTGCAGCGAAGCTTTTTCATTTGAATGCTGAACTCAAAGCAAAACAACCAGCAGAGAAATTGAGCATGTTTGAATAGTGCTTATCCTCTATCAACCTAAAAGCTATTGCAACTTTTTTATCTGTTCTTTGTAAGAACAAATTACTTCTACTTCTGCCTTCTCTGTGTGATCCACCATTGTTTCTACACATCTTTAGGTCCAGGACACCACATTAGTGGTACTGCAGCACAAGTACTGTGGTGCAAGGCTGGCATTCCTATAATCTACAACCCTAATTTATGAGCTACTAAAATATGGCATATTTCATCTGCCAGTAAATCTGTCAAGTTCCTGTATATAATGCTATTTATACTGCACACATACCAAGTACTCATCCTAGAAAGAAGCCTGGGTTCTTAATTAAGGACCAGATCATAAGAACTGCCAACAGCCAGACTGAGAGGAGAGCTGAAATGTCTTTATCATCAGTAATAACGCTCTAAACCAATGAACTGTTGATAAAAGCTTTATTTTTTCCCCAACATAAAGCAGGTAAACTCAAAAAATAATTTAGTCAGTGAGTAATTTTTCTGTAAGTATCAGCAAACAGTTTACTTCTTATTAAAAAGGCTATACAAATAGTAATTTAAAAGATGTTAATTCAGAGCCATGAAAAAGGGAGGAAATGACCTTTACTTTGTTTCACATGAATCCCATTTGGGCTTTGCTATTTTTCTGTGACAAATATGGATATAGCTTACCAATACAAAACCAGGAACAGCTCTCTGAGCAACAAACCTCCTTTCTTCAGAAGTTGTGTAGAGATGCTAATAGAGAGCAACTGCTGCAAAAATCTTTGTTTTTAAAAAAAATCTTCTGGCTGTTGACCTTCATGCCCCAACATCAGAGGCTGTAGCTGGGTATCTGTAGCAATACAGTTTGTTGTCTGCTCCTCCACTCAGTAACAACTGATCAGAGAAGGAAACTGTGATTAGTATCAGAACTAAGCAAAGTAAGTATACAGAAGTTAAGGACTCAATTTTTCTTTCCTTTATAAAAAGCAGTAGTGAATAATGAACTGTTAATGCATGACTAAAACCCAGAATCAAAGTGCTGAAGCAACTTTGTCTCTTACTCTCCTCTTAAAATTAGAAGTGAAACTTGTGTAGGAAAGCTGCTAAAGCTTTTTCTGACTTCTACAGTGAACAGGAGCCACAGTCAGAATCTTGAACATTCACAGAATGGTGTTTTTTTTGTAATTTTAAATACGTGTGTACCACTGCAGTAGCAGAACAGCTTGCTATAGAGGATTATACAGTTTCCCCTTCTACATGCATGGACTGCCATGCCCCAGCTTTAGTCCAACTGGCAGAGCTACCTTGGAACATGTGTTTTGAGGGTAAGGTGCAGGGCTGTTCTTGTCTCTTCTTGTTTGGAATATCACTACAATGCTGAGTTACAGCCATAGAGCTACTGCTCCCACCCTTCCCCTTTGCAGGGTGTGGGGACATGCTGCAGTGCCTGGGACATCACCACCCAGACATCAAACACAGCACAGCTACAACTGCCTGTTCTCTTCTAGCTTTAAGCATAAGGAGGTAACAGCCTTTCAGCTCTTTTCTTAAACACTATGCATATAAATCAAGTAACTTTCTCTTCAGATTCTTACCCCTGCTTCTGTCCAGTCCACACACAAAACCTTGTCTTCGTGAGCAGCCAAGTCATACAGAGGAGCTTTGCAACTAGTGAAAAACAGGTTTGAAGCTATGTGAGCAATCACAGACAACAACTGGTCCCAGGGAGAAATGCTATCCCAATGCTATCAAACAGATGTGATCAAGCAGTTATAAACACACAGAGAGCACAGACATTGACCATCTGTGATGCTTCCTCTGCTTTCCCCAGAGCCAATCACTTCAGTATTATCCTCTCCTGCATCCCCAAAGAGGAAAGCAGCAGCATTTTTCATCTGCTTGCAAACAACTTTGAGACTGAAATTCAATCAGCTGTTAGAAAGAAAGAATTTATTACAACTTCCTTCTTCCATGTGTAGATGCTGCTCAACAGCGTATGTTTTCCAGCCCTGTGGTACACTACAAGTATTTTTCTCCCTTTTAGTATATGGTTGACTTCCAAAACCTAGAGGGTTTTTCACAAATGCACAGGTGTTTCCACTGAATGTCTCTGACTGCTTTTGCTATTTCATGAGGGGTAGCTCACCCTGTAAGCTTACATGCCTTTGAACAGCAACAAACACAGGTTTATTTTACCTCCTTGTGTCCCAAAGCTTCACAATGTTGTCCAGAGAACCAGAGATCAGCTGATGCTCGTGGGTAGGTGACCACTTCACAGATGTCACCCAGCCTGTGTGAGAAGTCAGAGACAGGAGGACCAAGGAGCCATCTGAATGGAAAGAGGTAAAAGCACAGACATTAGCAGATGCTAAAACCAGCACTTTGAAGATGCACACAAAATCCAGCACAATTGCAATTCAAGTTAAGTGTTAAATTTCCTCTAAATAAAATGAACAAAAATGTAAGCCACACAAGTTTTGGGGAAGGAAAAAAACCCAAAGAAACAATCCAAACCAAACAAAAAAGAAACCAACCTCAAACCACTCAAAACATATTGTCTTGTCACTAAACTTCCTTTTCAAAGATTTTGTTTTAAAGCAAACAAAAAAAAATTGGTTTTATTAACAACATGTAATATGCTAGTGAACTTTGGATTAGATTTACAGAAGATAAACAAGTAAATGTTATTTACTGTTTGTGGCCTTCCCGTACCTGGACAGAGTCTACAAAAAGAGATGTGTTCAAGGCCAGGCTGGGTGGGGCTCTAAGCAATCTGCTCTGATGGAAGGAGTCCCTGCCCAGAGCAGGAGGGTTGGAATAGATCATCTTTAAGGTCCTTTCTAACCCAGACCATTCTATGAAATGTGTCTGTGAAAATAAACCTGATAGGCCCAGTCATAATATCTGTAATTCCATCTGTTTATGAATAATAGTAGCATGTCTAAGGGACTACTGTTGCACTTTAATGATTATCAGCCTCAGTCTGAACCTTAAAATAAAAAATCCATTCTGCAATTGCACAGTTGAACATTCATTAGTAAATCTAAAAAAAGAGAATAATTTCTAAATTAGTAGGTAAGGCATTAAAACAAGTCTTGTGCCAGAATACAGAAAATAGATTTAAGCTTCGTATTTAATACAAGCCCCCAAATGGCTGATTTCAAGCAGAGGGACCAGAAATGTTTGTGAGATGTCTCTTGACAGGACAAAGTTCTGATTTTGAAGAAGATCTTTGGGACCATGCATGTTTAAGCTCACCTTTGCTGCGAGGATCCCACAGTCTGATATGTCTGTCAGTGCTCCCTGATGCAAGACGTCGACACAAGGGTGAGTAGGAGACAGAATTAAACACTTTGTTTCCTGTCTGTCAATAAAGAAAATAATAACTCTTAAGACAGGAGCTGTTATTTTGCACAGTTTTTTCTTTTTCTCTGAGCTGGGCTTCAGCTGAACCTACAGCCAGAGTATAGTGATCTCACCAAAGTAGATTTGAGATCTCCAGTCTCAGCATCCCAGATTTTAATGGTGTGGTCCCACGATGCACTGCAAATTTCTTCAGCATCTGACCACAGCACAGAGGAGATGGCTTCTATGTGGCCAGAGAGGGTTGCCAGGGGAGTCTAGAATTTAATGGGGACAGACTTGAGTATGTTATCAAAAAATCTATTATTTCAAAAAATAAAATGTCTGATTATCCTGAGACATACCAGCAGAGGTTTTAAAGTCACCTTTAGCAAAGAGAAATTATTTGTTGTGGCTACCCTTCTAAAGAAAAATCCTGGACAAACCCAGAGATCATCTTACCCTTGTTAGTCCAAGCTGTTCAGTTTTCTGCTTTTTCCGTGGTCTGTTAGCTGCTTCTTCCATTTCATCCTCTTCATCTGTAGGTACTGGGACAGAAGACAAGCAGACTTCAGCTACAGATTTTTAAATTCCATCTCCATGTAAGTAATTAAGCAAATCCCCATATTTACAGTGCCATCATGCAGGTGATAACAAGGTCTGAAACTGTGTAATTAACCAAACCAGTAACTCAGCATAGTGATGTATAACTTTACGAACACCCTACCTGCAGACCAGATCTTTAACATCTTATCCCAGGATCCACTGCAGAACTGCATGAACAGAAACATTTTGTTAAATGTTGATCCATATAGACCTTGGAAGAGAGACCTGATTGAAAAATGGGTTATAACACAAAAATAACAGTGCTGCGCTCCTAAAATCCCCCTCAAAATACATCAAATTATTCTTTTTACTTCCTTTGTAGGAAAAATATCTACAAAATACCTATTTCCTTCAGCACTAAAAAGTCTGACTTTAAACTGTCTGATATTGAGTCAAGCTGGGAACAATGACTCCACTTTTGGTAGGAGTGCTCATAACTGCTGAATTTTTGGGTGAAGGGAAAGAACCTCTTTACCACCTGCTTTTTCCAAGAACTCTGGAGTTTTTTTCCCACCAAAACCACCACGAAAATTTAGGTCAAATTTGAAAATAGTTCATTATAGCACACAATTCTCATGCATTTAAAGTAAAATACACTTTAATTTTAACTTGTTTGCTAAATTAAATGATTTTGTGATTCTGTGGCTTAGCATTAATGTGACACTCCTAATTCTCAATAACCACCACTTAAAACAAGACTGGAAAATTATCACTGTGTCATGAAATCATGATGATGAATATCCATGCAAGGGTAAAACCAGGATTTTTGAGGTACAGACTGCTAAATCCCAAAAGACAAAGGTTTCTTTCCAGAAGTCACTTACTTTGGTTCTTGTACAATCAACAGCCACAGACTCAACACTGCCAGCGTGTCCCCTGCAGCAGTGAAGGGCTTTCACTTTGTTTTTCTCCATGTTCCACTCCCAGAGCAGGACAGTTTGGTCCATGGAAGCACTGAGTAACAGGCACGATAAACTATCTGAGGAAGAAAAAAGTCATACTCACACTCAACTCAGCTTTCCAAAGTCTTTATAAATAATTATTTTAATCCTAGAAGAAACAGCAGATAGACAGAAGCTCATATATATTTCGGTTGACATCATGTTACCCTGCAAGTACAATTAATATAACTACATATACACCAGTATTTGCTGATGGAGACTGCAAGGTGGATAGACAACAATCATCTTAAAGTAACTATATTCATTATTGTCAAAGGACTATTTTATGTACACCATTATTTAATTTCTTACACCGCTGGCAGAGATTGAAATAATTACATTTAGATAATTAAATATTCATAGTTAAGGAATGCTAACATTTCTCCCCCAGCAGATCAAACTATTACTATTCCCCTGCTATATATACTGACCTTGCTTCACCCACGCCACATCCTTCACTACTTCTGTGTGCCCAGCTATTGTCATGATGGATTTTCCTTCCACGGACCAGATCCGAGCGGTCTGATCGTAGCAGCCAGTTAATATCCTACAGGATACAGCATTGGAAACATCTTTGTCTTTAAGACTAACAAATGGTTTCATGAAGTAAAGCCTCAACCAGAAACTTGGAAAACTATTAGCACAGTAACTGGTTTAAAAGAAATAGCTTGAAAGAGGAAAAAATATCTTTTTGCTACAGAGCATCATTAAAGACTTGTAACTGGGGGGCCAAGAGTACAGGCTGGAAAGACAAGGAGTGAGAGCACTGCATGTTCTGGCTGATGGGACTTAAGATCCCTTTTATAATTTACACAATTCAAAACTTGTTAGTTTTAGTATGTTGCCAAAGGTTCTCAAAGCATTTTCAAATCTCTACTTAATATATGAACATTACCTAGCTGATTGGGAAATGAATGTGAAAATACAGTAGAAAAAGGCAATTATGCCTCTTTGGCTTTTTTTCAGGAAAATCTCTGCAGAAAGGTATGCTATTCTATTTGTTGCTGATGGGTGTCACGTTGGAAGTCAAGGGTTTAAGCAAAAAACGAGTAATGAGGAGAACTTGTTTACCTTTCAGAAAAAAGATACTAAACAGCATTTGTTTTGTTCATTTGTATAAGCAGTATCATAAGTTCAGTGTCTCTAGCTGTTTTGTATCTATCACTGTCATGACAGTGTAACCAGTGAACTGCTTACAAAAGCAAGCAGCTGACTGGACAGGTTAAAAAAAAAAGAAAAAAGAACAAAACCCCCCACCCAAGGGATTATTAAAGAAAAAAAATACTGATCTATTTGATACCATGCAAGAACATGAATAAGCAAGACAAAACTTATGGCTGGCTTAGTGCAGTACCATTCTTCAGTGGCTTGAACAGAACTGATCCAGTCATCATGGAAGATGCATTCTTCTGGCTGAGGGGCCATGTATTTCTCCACATACTCTATTTCCACCACTTCTTCCTGAGTTCACAGACAAAATATTTATTTAGTGATGTAGTGTGGTTTTGGTTTTTTTAATCACTAACAGGAAAATTTAACTGTAGTGTGGCATGAATATACAAGTTTATTGAGCAAAGGTCTTGGTATCCAAGTCCTTCACCACATCAGTAGAACAAAAGTAATTAGAAAAAATGTGTGAATTACATTACTTTCCATATTTTTATCAAATTATTATTAATAGCAAGCTGGAAGCAAAAGCAAGTGATTTCAGTCTTCTTATATTTTTCTTCTATATTTACTAATACAAAACTGGTGTCTAAACCATTGCAATATTTTCTAGAGGGAATATTAAACATCCCCTTTATCCCCCACCATAAGAGACGAAAATGTATTAATGAACTGAATAAGAGAAGAATTTCCCCTCTGAACTTTAGACAGACAACAGATTGTAAAACATTCCTTGCACTGCTCTGTCTGCAGTCTCTAATCACTGCAGTTCATAATGAATTTTAAAAATATAGGGAATTCTCCTGGGAAAGGAAGAAAAGAAATTAAACTGAGCAAAGAAATCTACCTAGCTGACAGCGCAATATCTAAAGCAGATTGAAGTACACTGCCTAAGTCTGTTCTACTGTCCAAGAAAGGGAGACATTGAATATGACTTACTGTGGAAATATTTTCCATTTCCATGTGTGTGACCAGTGGCAATCGCAAGAACTGGCCATTGATAAGGAAGTCAAATTCCACATACTTATGATCCGCTGAAACAAATTGGGAAAAATCAATGTTCAGGTGTCACTATTTATTTGATATCATCAAGAATGGCATCATTTTGCGACTGTTTCAGGACAATGGAGCCAGGAAGAGTTTAAAAAAGACCCAAACATAAACAACCCCCTAAAACCCCCAAAATAAATGACAACAAGAACAAAAACCCCAACCAATTAATTTCTTTTCCCAGTTTTAAGTGGGCAGCCCATTACTTCCACAGGATTATTGAAGTTAAGAGGAAGGAAAATTTGCTGCTGGGGTTCAAATAGTTGTTTGCCCCTTATTGTATTTTCTCAGTAGCTCTGTGTAATCAAACCCCAGCAGTGCTTCCTGACTGTTCTGTAGGGATCTTCCCACTTGTTACCACCAGCATTTGTGGCAGCAGTAGGAAAATCCTAAGAACTTTTGGTTTATATTTCTCCCTTTGTAATGACATAAGTGACAAAGGCTCTGCATTTTGGCAGAAGCACTCCACCGTGCACCAGTTTTCTGTTCAAGATTGTTTGCAATGTCATGGGTGGAAAGCAACTTGCAAAAGGTTCAAGAAGCAGGGTATAGTACCACTGACCCAGTTTCTTATAGAAAATGGGATTTTCCAACAACATCTGACAAGTGTCTTTCCCCAGATCAGCTTTCGAGTTAGTCGGCCCATTTCAGCACCGACAGAATAGCCGAGGTTTTCTTAAAGGCTGCGACAAAACCGAAACCTCTGGTTTCATTAGTTCTTGTGCCAGGTTTTGGGAAATATATCCATTCCCATCTGCTGTGGCAGCCTGGCCTGTGGTGCCGGGCACACACAGTGTTCCAGCCTTTGGTCCATTTCCCCTGGGAATGCCCGGCCGCGCCGGTACCCGCAGCGTTTCGGGCCAAGCTCCACCGCGGGCAGCCGGGCCCCAGCAGCGGGGCAGGAGCGGCTCGGCTGTGACAGCCGGGCCCGGCCTGGGCACACGAGGGACGCCGCGGCACCTACCGTGCGCTGCCGCCAGCAGCTTGTTGATGAGCTGGCTGAGGTCCGTGGTCTCGGAGGTCGCGGGTACCGAGAAGGGCACATCCTCCACGACGAACCTGCGGGCACAGCGCTGCGTTACCGCCTCTGCGCCACGCGCTCCCGAACCCACCCCCGGCCCGGGAGAGGAGGCCGCTCACCGGCGGTTCTCGGTGCGGAACCGCGCCGTCAGCTGCGCCATCGCCGCTGCTGCCGCGGATGGCGGCACCGGCCACGTGCGGCGGCGCGCCCCGGCCGAGCCCCCGCGGGACCGCGCGCCGCCCGCGTGCCGCGCGCCCGCCGCGCTCCCGAGAGGCCGCGCGCCGCCGCCTTCCCGGCGCCCCCCGCGCGCCCCCGCCCCGCTCCGCTGAGGGCGGGCGCGCGTGCGCGGGGCGGAGGCGCGCATGGCGGCGGGGCCGCGGCAGCCCGGCCCAGGTGCGGTAGCGCGGCTCCGGCATCTCCCCCGGCCCGCCGCGACGGGGCCCCGGCCGGGGTTTTCCGCCGCCCCCGCCGCGGGGCCGTGGTGCCGAGGGGTGCGACGGGTGCGGGCTGAGGCACCGTCCGCGCTCCTCAGGGCTGGGGCGCGGGGCGGGTCCCGGCAGGTGCCCGGCGGGGCCGTGCCCGTGTGCGCCCGCGGGCCCGGAGTGCCGGTCTCGGCTTGGAGTCACTCGCGCTGTGCTCCTCTGCACGTCCGGCGACACGCCCTCAATAAACTGCCTACTACAAGTAATAAACCCAACGCGCGGTGGACTTAAAAAAGAAGCTGTAAGTGAGTGTGGTGTTTTGGGACAAGGCTGCTTGTGTGAGGACATGCTGTGTGCTTGCGCTGTTGATAAATTTTTCCCCCACGCGGCCTCTGGGGAGCAGCTGGGGTTTCCCCGAGTGGTGACTTGGTTTTGGTGACTCCGCTTGTTGGAGCCGGGCGGGTGTGCTGGGTGTTTGCTGTTTCGTGAGACTCTGAAATCGCATCCATTTCTTAAACATGCTTCACAGACCCAACGTTGTTTGTTAGCGAAATTGACACAGGTGCATATTCCAGTTATTGGCGTTGTCTACAAAAAAATGACTTGAGAAATCTTGTAAGTGTTAAGAAGATCCCCAGATCTTCTCTGTATTCTTAACAGTATCTGCCTCCTCTTCCATGATGGAGATAATGCTAAATCTCAAACCTGGTACAAGTTGACAAAGCTAATTGTAACTCCTTTACTGGGGAGTATCACTATGCCCTAATTTCCTCCCTCATATATTTTACTGTAATTCATGCCCTTGTGAATTTGTGCCACTGTGAATGGTTGTAGAGAATGTCCTCAGAGGGAACTTTCTCAGGCAGTGTATTTTGATTGCTGTAAGCTATGCAATTATCCAAAGTCTTCTTATAAAACCTCTGCAGCATCTTGTAGAAAAACCCCAAAAGAGATTGATGGTGAAACATTCAACTGTATGTATTTTCTGTTAAGTATAACCAACACCCTGCATACACTGCTCATGATGGTTATCGTGTTTGCCTGTGGTAGCAGTTTTTGTGGCTGCTTGCTGTCTTTGTAGAGTTGAACCTGGGACAACAATGGCCATAGATTTGCCTTTATTTGAGAAAAGTGCTTCCCAAATGGAAGCAGGGTGAAGGAAATAGACCCGTGGCGTTAAAATACACTAACCCGTGAGTTGGAAATGGCCCTGGAATGCTGGACTCGGGAAGCAGCCTATAAAGTAGTGGGAGTGGAGTTGTGTTAAGGTAAAGCTGAGGCATAGAGAGCTGCCTGTGTGCTTTGAGGGTGCAGCTCTTGTTCCCACTGTACGCTAATATTGTGCTTCCACATTTCTCCTTCAGCTGACTGTTAAATGTGTGATACACTGGTGTTGCAGTAGGAATTTTTGTGGTGCTCACTTAATGTTTATGAAGAGATACTTACATGTTATTTACACGTTCATGACAAAGTACCCCTATACATATGTATTTATTTGTACATGAATGGACAGGATTTAACTCTCCTGTTTGGGGAATTGGTCAGCAATATCTATATGACTATAAGATCTATTAATTGTGTATGTACTTGTACACCTCTGTAGAAGCATATTTCTTTAAGAAAAGAAAAATAATCTCTGTGGTTACACACAAGCATTTAGGTTAATGAAAACTGGATGGTTGAACCATGAAGTTGATCTTCCAAGTGATGTGTGTGCCAGTTGTTTGCCTGGGTTACAGTAGTGATTAGACAAAATCATGGGGCAAAATTGTACCACAGGGATTATTTTAAACACACATATAAAACTTAAGGTATTTATAGGCTGCTTATGAAAGGAAGCTGGATAAATATCACTGTGTATTTACCTTAGTGCTGGATTTTTTTCCCTGAGCTTTGTTATTAACTATAGTTAGATACAGGATGTTGGGCTGCTGGGGTCATTGGTCTGTCCCTATAGAGCTGTCCTTGTGTTCTGTTGTTGGGTTCTAGCATGCTCAGAGTACATGTTATCAGTATGCCTGGAACAAATTCAGTTTATCTCAAAGAACTAAATATGCTGCTTTTGCAAAAGAGCTGTCTCTTCTTTACATTTTTGAACTTAGAGGAAATGGTTGAGTGATGATGAAATCTAGTTTTCTGGGTTTTTTTTTCCCCATTTGCTGCTGTGCTGCTTCAGACATTTTAACTGAAACATCTTATAGTTGTTCTGAAATCCAAAGCTCAAAAATATTTAGTAAACATGAAGTAACTTCATTTGGAACTTGGTCTGGAGTGTCATCACTTGAAAATTGAGTGGAAAAATAAATCTGCTTTAGATTAAAGTATTAATATATTGAGCATATGAGCTGCTTAACTTCTCAATGTTGTTTGTATCAGCAGGATGCTTTAGTCAGCTTCAAAAGCCAAGGAGATGTGGATTTACTTTGCCTTTGTGTCCTTTATACCTTTGCAAAGCAGAATAAATCAGTGCTTTAAGAGTTGTACAGTTCTTTTGGAGTTACTCTCTAACAGTTACTCTCTAACAGTTACTCTGTTACAGTCTCCTTGCAAAAGCTGTAAACAGTTGAAATACCACAGCCAAGAAGGTCCATCTTGCGGAATTTACTTGCGTGGTGTGGTGAAGAAGATACAGCTGGTAGGAGTCATGTGCTAATATAATGCAGCCTGTCTTTAAAATAAAATAGTGAAGGGGAAAATCGTGACCACCCTTCCCCCTCCTTCACCCCAAACTACAGGAATTAAGTTTTCTTCTATCCAGTTGGGTATGTTATGTGTGTGGTCTTATATATGTAAGCTCTTGTTAAGTAGGGGACAAGTTAATTGTTATTTTGTCCTGCTGCTTGTGAATGTTTGGGATTGGTCGCTTCTTTAAAGGGTGTGCTGTGTGCATGAGTGCGTTATCCTGTGGATGTGGCAATTCAGTGTCCAATGTTATCTGTCTGAAGGTTTGTAATGGGCAGCTGAGTATCTTGAAGCTTTCTTTGGGATAGGAGGAGATCTCTGGAGTGCTGGGAACTCTGTCTTTTTGTCTTTCACCATGTGATTAATGCCAGATTTTGTTCTACATATCTGATGTTTTTTTTCTGCCCAAAGCATACCACTGAAGACTACCATTAGTAACTACTATTTTATTTCTTTTATATGCTGTCTTTTAAGCTTTAAAACAAATTGATTTACTTCAAGATGTCTGTATGACAGAGTTGCATAATGCAAATTCTTTCTGGTGATTATGGAAGAAGGTGACTAATATATTTATAAAGCACTGCTGGCATGTGCTTAAATATCAAGTGTTCTCTAGATGTGTGTGGTTGTTAGTTCAGTGCTTTTGGACATATTCAGATGAAAACCGTGGGAGGGTGTATGTATGTTTAGTATCTGTGTATGTAATGAGAAATCAAGCAAATTATCTCATATAAAAGGCTAAGCTGTACTCCTGGAGCAACACACTGGAAATTTTCTGCAGTGAGTAATGTGATAAGGAGGGAAGGATTTATTGAGAATTGTTATCTTGCAACAGCATTAGAACTTGTAACACGAAATTTGTAGGACCTGAAAACAACACCTGCGGCAGTCTCCGGGCAGAAGGCTAAAATGAACTTTTGTAACCTTTTCAGGTCACATTGTAATGGACCAAAGTGGAGCTGACTATGATATCGTTATGGAAGGATCTAACAATTTGCTCATAGGCAGCTGTAATGGTACAGGAGAATCAGAAACAAATGATCAGATTTTTCAGGTAATGTATGAATGCTTTGTCCTTGTAGATGCTTCCTTTGCATCCACTCTGATGAGTTTCAAATATGCTATTTCATCAACGCAGGGTTTTTTTCTTGCCTTTAGAGAAATAGTGTCTTTCAAGAACGTGCCTCCCTTCCCTTGGATTCCTGTGCCATTCAGTTTTGAACTGATGACTGTCCAGCTTTTACAGGCAATGAGAAGCTTCAGTAATTATGTCCTGCTATGGTGCTGAAGAAATGCCTGTTTTATTTTGTTAACCCTTCAGAAAAGAATGCTTTATGTCATGCATTGGAGTAGGAGAGGTTCAGAACAGGTGAAAATGAGGTGGCATTGCTTAGTGACCAAATGTGATAAAGAGTCCAGGGACACGGGACACCTGTGTACGTGTTGAGGGAGAGGAGTCTTTCATGTGTTTTTTATCAGATATTGCCAGATCTTCTTATTTGGGGAGATGTCTGAGCATGAATCCGCTTCTGCAAAATGTTTTTCTAACATAAAATGTCATTCTGGGAGTGATTTACTTGTGTGCTTATGGTCTCTGCACAATGTCTAACACAACAGGTGTTGTTTGTTTGTTGCAGATTTTCTGCTGTAGTTCATGATAGACAGGTTCAGCACAGAAGATTTATACCTGCAGAATTTTTGATGAAGTTATTTAGATCAAATCTGACTTTTATATAAAATTAAGAAACATTTTTCCTCATTCTTTGATTTGTAGTGTGTATTAATTTTTGTTGCAGAAATGTCAGAGTTGTTTGTGCAGTTGCTGCAAGAGATATAACAAATTGCAGCCCTTCTTGCATTGGCCAAATGACACCTTGACATGTTATTGTACACAAGGACTGACTATTTTTCCGTTATTTTTACATGCTTAATGTTTGTGTTGTCAGAATTTCAACAAGACAAGTATTTAGGCCTATGCTTTTAAATTTAATGAAAATGGCATGTACCCTAGGACTTCTGTTCTGCAAACTTGATGAAGATATGCTTTATTTTTTTAAGATTTTGAAACTCTGATTCTTGGCCTTATGCTGTGCAATTCTTGGCCTTTAATCGGAGGTTGTGTTTCTTGTGTTTCTTCTATGGTAAAGAGTTTTAAAAATGTGGAGAGATTTTTTTTTTTTTCTTCATAGCTAAATGCATGTATGGAAAGGCCAAGTGGAATAGTATCTAGGATTTCTTCTGAAGTCAAATCAAGTTGGTGTATATTTTACAGTTTTGGTTTTGGTAAGTCTTCTCAGTTTCTGGGCAGACTTGAGGTGTTTTAAAGTGATACATGGTCTTGGGGAGCAGATTTTGAGCAAAAGGGATTTTCCTTTGTCTTAATAGAGAGACTTAATTCTAGGAAGCAGGGATATGATTAATTTTCAGCATGGAAATAGAAAACAAAAGTAGAATTGCTAGTGTTAGCCTCTTGATCCAGAAGGACAAGAGCTCCTCTGATTATACAGTATAGCACACTGGTTTTAAATGTTCTTTTTCTTTTTTTTTTTTTTTTCCCTTTTTAGAAGTTGTTACTCAAAGGACATTTTACTGTTTTTCCTCTGTGGAAACAACTTACGTGCATGGATTCCAGGGATCTATTGTTTGGCCAGAGCCACTGTCCCCCAGCCCCGCCCATCACAGTCCCCCTCTCCAGCAGTCCTCCTGCATCGGCTGTGCCCGTGCGGCCGCCCCAGCCACGGTCCCACTCTGCCGAGGAATTCCACCTGGCAGAGCAGCCCCGGCAGCCTCTGTGTGAGCTGCAGCCCCTGGGAGGGCCCAGTGCACCCATGGTGAGTGTGTCTGCAGACAGGGCTGTGCTACAGGTGAGGGAGCTCTTTGAAGAACTCTCTTATGTGGTGGTTTGTTGTAGTAACAGCTGATTCAGACCTTATCTCTAGCAACAAGGTGGAACTTTTCAGTGGTACAGTTAAGCTCTAGTTGCTCTTCTTCAGGTAGGCAAATCCTGTCTTCAACCATTACTAATTTTAAACTGATGTCTTCTGTCAGTGTGGAGCCTGGATGCTGCAGTGTTACGATATTGTATTTCTACTGCTGCTGTTTTCTCTATATTCCCTGGATAAATCTGCATGTTTTGGGGGGAATCAGAACATTAGCAGTAAGCCAAGTCATTATCTAAGTCATTATGTCTCACCTTTCCCCCAGCCCTGAATGCATTTTCTTAAAATGTTGCTTTGTAATGTGTAACATCTATTTTTGAAAAGGTAGTTCTCTCACCCAGAGTCCTTTGTAATTATGTCCTATATAAATATACCATAAGGAGTTATTCAAGTTTTTCAGAATCCCAGGTGATTTAATTTGTATTGTTTTTTTAAGCCCTGGAGCTTTTCTTCTCTTTGCTTTTGCAAGAGATGCTGCCCATATAGGTCAATTTCTTAGAAGTAAAGGTCACATTTTTTATGTTACTATTAGTTCTGCTAGTCCATGAATGGAATTACAGCAAATCCAACTATGAATGGCTTTCAGGTGTTTGACACCTTTAATAAGAGAGTTGTCAGTTTCAAATAAATGTGTCATTCATTGTAGAATCAGGTAAAGCACTGGGTTTTTTTTTCTGCCTTTAATTAAAGGCCTATTTTAAAAGGGGAAAGTAATTTTAAGAAATTGATAATAAAGAGACAGCTTTCTTATTATGTAAAGTCAAGTAAATATACAGGCCTTAACTCTAAGCAAAATATTTCCTGTTCTGGTAATAATCAAACCCAGTCATGCTGTGTGATCACCATACAAACTAGAGCCATTCATACTCCTGTGTGACTGCCTTACAGATGATTGTTGCCAGCCAGTCAGAAAATGGACAGGTGCTGCATGTCATTCCTTCTGCCCAGCCAGGAGTGACCCAAGTGATTATTCCTCCAGGTCAGCTTCTGGATGTGACCAGCACACAGGGTGAGTTTAACCTGTGGGATCCGAGGGTTTGTGCTCCTGTGACTAAGCTCATCCTCCGTGGTCTTTTTTAAGCACCTTGTTTCTTTTCCTTAGTTTTAAGACAAAATACGCCCTGAATCTGCTTCTGATTGTGAATCTGGTGCCTCACACACCACATTTTCTATTGGCCAAAAGCATAAGGAAAGCTTATGAGAGCTATTATGCCCCTTTCTGAAGGGTATGTGACATATCAAGCACAGAGTTGTTTTTTGCCTTATTTACCTTTCATAAGGATATTTGTACTGTCAACTGTACTATCAGCTTCAAATTTTCAGTATTTGTTTATTTCATTATGAATGAAGTAGTTAATTCCTGTAGTGCAGACAGGCCAGATAGGGATGTGGTGATGATGAGTCTTCTGTGAAGACAGGAAATAATAATTTAGCTAGAAATTCAGTTCCCAGTCAAGGAAAATAAGATGTAGTTTTCCATTCATTGGAATGTGTTAGCTGTCACATTTTAAGCATGTGCTGAGATACACAACTAGAAATGCAAATTTTAAGGTTTTCTCTAGAAAATAGACAGACTGAAATCTGAAAGCATTTATTATTTATCTGCAGTCCTTGGTGGATGGCAAAACACTTTATACTAAGTTGCATTCACAGAGTGAGAATGAGGTGGTCACATTTTGTTAAACTCTCAAATGTTCTTTAAACTGTTTTTTCATTCTCTCTATAAAGTTTTCAAGATTTGAGCACTGCTTAAGTGTTCTTGTGGAATGATAGCCCAGAATAAGAATAGAGTCCTGGTACTGGGTGGATAGAAGAAAGATTTGGGATTCAAGTTGTAGCTCTTTTCACTTAGGGTTGCAATATGTTTTCCTGACTTTGCATTGAAAGACTTGTTCCTACCCTAATGCTCAACCTTGCCTCCCTCTCCAGCTTTCGCAGGGGTAAAACAAGGTTTGGTTACAGCAGAGTCTTACATTACTTTAAAGATGATTGGGAGCCTTTAGTTACAAAATAATTGCTGCTACTCTTTGTAAGCACTAAGTTGAAATACTAAATAGTAGTTTTGCATTTCCATTTTTCATTCAACATGAGGCTCGGTGTCATAGTACTTGAATACTTGTTCTACAATAGTGCTGCAGGTGTCATTTGTGGGGGATTTTTTTGTTTGCTTTTTTCTAGAGACTGACTGTGTAAAAGACCTTGTAGTGATTTGGTCTTTTTTAGATAGTTGGAGAGATTTGTCAGCAGTTTACTGTGGAGGTGAAAGAGAAAGGAGAGTGGCCTGTCAGCTCCTGAGTTTCACTTGTCTGCACATGGTGGTAATGCATGGAATGGTGCAGACTTCAGAGTAGTCTGCAGTGTCTTAAGGGCATAGCTCTGTAGGAGGAGCCAGTGCTTTGAGCCAGAGTTCTGTTAATCCAAGTGCACACTTAGGAATCTTCTTATGGAGCTTTGTGTGGATCCATTTCTGTACTGTGTCAATAGCTTACCACTCTCTCTGGATGAGGGAAAGAAGCTTTCATAACTGAAGGGCAAAAATCCCTCATCTAAAGACACCTCATGTGTTTATGTTGAGACCAAAATATTGAATGTCTGCTTTCACAGTTTTCCATTATATTTTTGTTTAAGTGTACACACAGGCTTTAATCTAAGAGCAATTTTTGGCTTGTGGATTGCTCCCTGTTACCAAGAAAGGCTAAAACATTTGTTCTAACAGCATGTCAGATTAAATTACAAGAGGCCTGTTTTTCTTGTTTAAGTGTTCTTTTCTAAGTACAAAGCAATATCATTACCTCATTTTTTCTTGTTTTAAAAGCAACCAGTATGTGACTTGCAGCTGAACAAAATACTTGTGCAATCCTATATGGATTCCTGGAAGCAGAGTAATTTGCAAGTTGTTCTGATTATTTGCCTTGTTGTGGAATGATTCATAAGCAGTAGCACAATTACCGAAGTCCTTAAATATAAGCAGCTTTATCAAGTGTATCTTCATAAGTGTGCCAGGAGTTTGAGCACTGATTTACAACTATTAGATTACTTTATCATCTATAAAACTTCTTTCCTATGTCAAAAAGCTTGCTTTAACAACACACTAAGTTTAATGATAGCTTGTTTTTCCCCTTTCTACATTCGGTTATTAACCAGGAAGCTGATTTTTTTTTTTTTTTGTAAAGATATTTTGGAAGAGAAGTGTGGTGATGGGAACCTGCAGACTGTGGTGGTGGCTTCTATAGCAGACAGTGCAAGCAGTTACATTCTACATCCACAGTCATCTCTCACTGTGTCAAAAAAACCAGCTTCCAGGTAGGTCAGGAGTTGAACAATAAAGGGATGAAGAATCACTTTGATCCACTGTTAGCACTGCCTTTTTTCCTTGCAGTTTGTTTTTGCAATGGTTATCACAAAATTATCATGGAAAAGGGGTTATGAGCCCACAGTGTACTGAATGTTTGGAGGACTTGAATGTAGAAACCATTGGGGTTTTAAATACTTTTATTCACAGTAAATTATTTTAACAATTAAATAGAATATGAAAATGAAAACCACAGATTTTTAAGGCATGTTGATACAATATCCATAGTTTGATCATATTCTCTAGGGTTGTACATAATGGACTCATTTGATCTTCCCTGTAGTTTAGGCTAAGTTGTTGCTTTTGTGAATGTCTGTATAGACTTCTATTTTTTTTTCAGGCTAGTGGAAGATTCTTTTCCCATCCCTCTTCAGCCACTGCCACTAAATATGCCTGCATGGGCGCGCCGTCTCAGGAACTGTGAGGTGGGCCACAAAGAATTCTGACTTAATGTTTCATAATCTAGCTCTGAGATAGTATTCCTATTCCTTGAAAGGAATAATTCATAGCTGTAGAAGTGCTCAAGCTTCTTGGTATATAGCACTGGTACTGCTAGCACAGTTAAACACATAAAATGCTGTGAAATCCCTTTCTATTTTGAGAATTTTAGAATAACTGACCATCAAGTGCTTCTGAATTAGAAGTGCTGCTGAAAACCTGATACCTTGTAGTGCTCTGAAGAGCCATTGTGTGCCATGTTAGGGTTTGCTGTTGAACAACAGTGCGAACTTTGCTGACTTCTGCAACTGTTCGTGTGGTTTATGTTATCACATAGAAATCAAAATCCATGTGCTTGGCCAGTGTCCAGATTCTGAGACCTAATGCACCCTAATATTAATATTTCACCACAGATTCCTGTTTTAGATATTATTGCTGATTTTTATTTTTTGTCCCAGCAAATTAGGTTACTTGTGCTTGTTTCCTCTTTTGTTAAAAAATGTCCTGTCTTTATGTTCTGTGGCAGCTTTTGACTTAAACAGAACTCTTCCTTTTTTGCATCTTGTTAAATGTTTGCAGAACTGTCCTGATGACTAGGATGCTATTAGCACCTAGAATACATCATAAGTCCTGTAACAGGAAGGGAGGAGAGACAGGAAGTTTCTTGAGAGATCAGCTACCCCTTCCTCCTGCTGCCAGACTCTTTCTGACAGATGTTTATTTTACTTTCTCTTAATACTTTTTAAAAGTAAAGCTTATACTCTGTAACTGCCTAATCTCTTTAGATATCTACCATTTTTTTTTTCTATTGGCTTGGCCACTGATAACTAGAAGTTGCAGTTTGAGGGACCTAGAAATTGAATTTCTTCCTATATCTGTTTAGAAACAATTTTAAAACTAAATATATTAATCTATTCCTTTTGTGCTATGCCATTTATTTAATACAAGTGGTACCATCCACTCTTATGTAAACATAAATGTTCAGAAGTCAGAAAATTATTAACATGAGTTCTTCCATGGTAGAGATACCATTTTGATAGAATCAGTGGCTTAATTCAGTTGGCTAGTTAGTTCATAAAGTTCAGTGTGTTTTTAGCACTATGTGGTACATTCTTTCCTGTCTTGACATCCATGTGGCTTATCTGAATCATTTATTATTGGTATCCTATTATCGGAAGACTTAGGATCTGCTTTGTCTATCTATTATAAGAAATTTCACCTACTGTGTTTAAAATTCCCGGTGACATTTACAGAAAAGTTCTTATTTTTAAAGAAAAAGAAATAGACATTTTTTCTATTTCCTTTTTAATTTTAAACATTTCAGTATGTTCTAAGGACACAAACATCTTCCTCTGCTGTTCAGCAGAACTGTTTCTTGTATGCAGTAATCCTCTGATCCACCAGAGAGTGCTGGGATGTATTGTGCCTTTTTTTTTTGGGCACAGACTAGAGACACTGGGATTTTGAGGTGTCAATTATCTTTCAGGTGTCAAAATGTTTTGTTACTAGTAACAGAATTGAAGGATCCTACTGAAATTTGGAGATCCAGTTTGGAGAGATGCTGGTAAATATGTCAGCTCACAACTCCACTCTTTCAGTAGTCTGCCAGAACTGAAACAAGCTTAAGCCAGTGTTGCAGTCTCTGTGGCTCACACAAGATGTCAGCAGGTGAAGCCACTGCACTCCAAAGGCCAGTGACTCCTTTGGCACTTGGTACTGTGGGCAAACACAGAGCAGTAAAAGCTGGCTGCCTTGAAATATTCAGCTTACACTTGCTGTGTCTGGACTGCAAAATGCCTCTGGTACCCTGCTGCTGTGAGTTTCCTCAAGGAAAACTGCAGTCTTGGTGTGTTTACTTTAGGATAAGCTTTTATGTACTTTGCTGAGGCAAGGCCAGAGGACAAAGAAGGAATCACTCATTTTTTTTGGCTTGAACCTTGGAGTTAAAGGGCTGAAGAGTATGTGATTACTTCAAGGTAATTACATTGTTAGAGTGAATTTAAACAGTTCCTTTCAACAACTTATATTTAGCTTTCAGTGGTCTGATCAGAAATAAAATGTAATTTAAAACTGCATTAATTAACTATACAAAATTATTTGTCTGAAGAAGGTAGCCTTGCTTGTTCGTTTTTTTCCTACTTGTGAAGCCTGTAGAAAGCAGGGATCTTTTGTGCTGTATGGTTTTCTTCTTGTCCTCCTCTTCCCCTTCCACCAATTTAGGGAAAATGATCTGACTTGTGCAAAAGTAAAGCCAGAAAAGGAGAAAGTTCCTTAACTGTTTTTGCTACTTTCCTGTCACAACGGTTTTGTCAGTCTTCTCATCTCTCTAGAATAAGGTCAATGACCTGTTTTTAGTGACAGGTATAAGGTATGGGGGAAAAAAACCTAGGTGATTTTGCAGTATTTGTTGTATGCAGTGGTGCTGTAATCTCTCTCCTGAAAGGCAGCATCCCAGACTTCTGGAAAGAAAGAAGTTCTAGTACTTCTCAGGCTACTTTCCTTCTGGATTTTTCAGATCAAGTTTTGTTCAGAAGTATTATTTATAGCTTCTAGTTAAACAATTGCCAATGTGTCTTGCACCCAGAGCCATGTGAGTGCAGACCTGGTTAGCTGCTGCAGCAGTGCCTGCAGAGCAGTGAGCTCTGAGGTGTGAACAGTTCGTGTCTCAGTGACTCACACCCAGTGCACACACCAACTTCATGTCTGGCCTTGCACTAGCAGCAGCACTGTGCTGGCCCAGTTCATTCACAAGATCTTCATTGGTTCACTGTTGTCTTTAGGTCTTGCTAAACACAGACATTTTGTTTTTCTTAGATGAATGTGAGGCAGGTTTTAAGTAGTTGTCGCTATGGTACCTGTGTGATAATCTTTGAGAGATTCTTTTGCTGCCAGTATTATTTAAACATCTGTCTGTTCTGTCACTGAAGGTGGCAAAACAAATCTACCAGACCTTAGTGCTCATTCACCATGTGTTTGTCCCACAGATACACTTTAAGACTGAGCTGGCAAACTACTCTGGCTGTTACAGCTACTTGGCCAGCCTGACCCTCAGCTGCATATGAACAGAGGGAAGTGCTATATTCTCAGCTTGGATGAAAAGTTCTTCTCTGATACCATAATTTTGTTGTTTGCTGGCTGGCCTTTGCAGACCAGCACCAAAACAATTGTGATGGAACTGAGTAGCTGGATAACTACTGAGTAGTTGGAGTAGCAACTACTGAGTAGCTGGATAACTTCTTTGAGTCAGGTTAAATGCAGTTTTTGTGGAGTTGCCCAGCCATTAGCAGAGTTCATTGAAACCATCAGTTTGCACATGGCAAATCTGGTATAGTATGTTTCTGTGTAATGCTGAGAATCAAGAGTGCTTCGAAGGTTGGGAGGGATGTTGTGTGAGACATTCAGTTCAAAGTTAGTGCACTAAGTAGCTGAGACAGGTACTGGTGGTATGGGCAGTTGCATTCTGCTCCAGCTCAGTGCAGTGTGTGTTACAGTAGATGCAGAGATCCTCTATGGCAGTCAAGTGAAAAACTTCATCTAATACTAATTTGTCTAGTGAGTGACTTCAACTGATGTGTGTGTTTGGGGTAAACCAGCGAAGTTGTCCTCTGGAAATCAGAGTTGACAGTGACTGTAACCTTTTCAGGGGTTCTTGGTGTTCTTAGAGTTTTGGATGGCTGACAACTCCTGACCTCAGTGGGGACTGCTCTTTTGTTAGATCCTATGATAAATCTCTTTATGAGGATACTGCTGTGGGGACAAAAAACATGTAATGCCAAAAATCTGGGCCTATGTTCTCACTTGCCAGAGTCCCTGACTGCTTTCGTTTTCTTGTGTAGTGTTCAGCAGTCAGATGGGTGAATAATCCTATTATTTCCCATCCTTTCCACGCAGAGAATTGGGGACTCATACCGCGGCTATTGTGTGAGCGAGGCAGAGTTAGAGAGCATTCTCATGCTACACAAGCAGCAGACACAGAGTGTATGGGGGACACGCCAGTCTCCAAGCCGAGCCAAACCCGCCACACGGTTGATGTGGAAATCTCAGTATGTCCCATATGATGGGATCCCCTTTGTCAATGCAGGTAACTAACTTCTATTTTAATAACTATTTTCCACATTGCAACATCAACTGCCAGCCGGCTGCAAAGAAGAATCTTTATGTTGTTCCTTAGTTCTGATAAGGTCAAGATACAAACATAAAAAAAGGAGCAGCTTGCACACTGCTGTGAGAGTCTGAAGGAGCTTGTTTATTTTTTTATGTTTTGCCGTGATTATTTCCTTTTGTCCTTTATAGATCAGCTAATACCATTTGATGGGGTTTCTTGTGATGAGGTCTTTAGGGGGAGGTCCCATCTGCTCTATTGGGACTTGAAATTTCTCGTAAGGGTAAGACCTTGTTCAATTATTCTTGCCTGACTTGAAGATCTTTAGAAGAGTTTACTTCACAGGAGTCAATAAACTATTTAAGTTGCAAACATTAAAGTAATAAATAAATAAATTCAAAATGCCAGACAAGCAAGCAAGATAAACATCAACAGACCTCAGCACAGAGACTTTTGGCATTTGGGGTTCTTTATGAAATGTTCATGCAGACTTTGCAGGTTGGTAATTACATATTTAGCTCATGCAGTACATATGTGAAATTACCAAGAGTTTAATTTGCATATAAAATGAACGGGCTTTACTTGCTACATACAGAAAATGAGTGAGAGGAATGTAGGTTATATTTGGGGGTTTTAATTATTTTTTTTTCCCTGAGAGTTACTTAAAAAGAGAAATGTTAGCACCAGTTTTAAAGCTTCAGTGAGATAAAAGAAAACTAAGAATAAAATTAAAGGAACTTACCCCTTTTTATTCCAAACATGTATATGAGACCATATGCATGTTTCATCCAAATCATTTGGTATCTCATGGAGACGCATTATGTTGCTGTTATAATACTTCAAATGTTTTTGGGTATATCACTTGTGGCATAGGCAGCTCCTTCCCTGCATACTTGAATACATGAACTGTAAATAAAAGGTAACTAAGTGTGATGTGGAAGAAGTTTGGAAGATGTTCCTTGAATGCTTTGCTTGTCAATCCCTTTTGTTAGAGGTCTGACTGGAAGAAATCACTTAATTCAAATTTAGAGAAAAGCAGTATTTGAGCCTGTTTGGTTTTGTGTGGGTGTGCTGTGCTGAAGCTGTTATTTAGCAGTTAAGATTTCTTAACTGCAAGGCTGAGCTTTTACGGAACAGCATGGTCTGAAGTGTTGATTTAAGCAAGAAGCTGGAAATGTCTGCTGACCTTGTCTCATGGTTTGACCCCAGCTGGAAATCGCCACAAAGCTGCTCACTCATTCCCCCAGTGGGATGGGGAGAGAATTGGAAAGGTAAAAGTGAGAAAACTCATGGGCTGAGATAGGAACTGTTTAAAAGGTAAAGGACAATCCACACACACAAGCGAAGTAAAGTAAGAAATTAATTCACAACTTCCCATCACCAGGACAGCAGGACACCATCATTTGTAGTGGTTACTTGGGAAGACAAACGCTCTGACTTTTGAATGTCCCCCACCTTCCTCCTGCTTCCCTTGGTTCTACATGCTGCATGTGCTGCCATATGACATGGAATATGACTTTGGTCATTTTGGGTCAGCTGTCCCAGCTGTGTCCTGTCTCAGTTCCTTGTCTCCCTCAGCCTCCTCATTGGTGGGGTGGGGTGAGAGGCAGAAAAGACCTTGACTCTGTGTAAGCCCTGCTCTGCAGTAACTAAACATCCCTGTGTTATTAGTACCATTTCCAGGACAAATCCAAAACACAGCTTCACATTGACTACTGTGAAGAAAGTTAACTCTATCCCATCCAAAGACATCACACCTTTGATTTCAGCTGGGGATATTCTCTGTTGTTTTGGGGGTTCTGCATTTTATGTTTATTACCAGTATTGTGCTCCTTTGGTAGCTTGCAAGACTTCTCATCTTGTAAAGTACTGGTGCTCACCAGGGCAAAGTCCAGTATTTTGCCCTCACATATGTTGAGGAGTGCTGTGAGGTGTAATAAGTTTAAGAAATGGTTTAAAGTGCATTGTGTTCTTACATGCTGGGAGAGAAAGCATTTGCATTATATTTGCTTGCCATGCCTGAGAGTTCTGCCTTCTGAATAGTCTTATGACAAACAGAACTCTCATCTCTTCTGTAGTTAGTATTTTAGTGTAATGAATTAAGTGATTGCTTGAACAGAGTGCATTACTTTCTTTTTCCAGGAAGCAGAGCCATTGTAATGGAGTGCCAATATGGGCCAAGGAGGAAAGGATTTCAGCCAAAAAAAACTGGTGAGCAGGAAAGCACCTTTAGCCAGCTGTACAAAGCCACTTGTCCAGCAAGGTAAGAATTATATATAAAGCTGTAAGAGTGACTGAGCATCCTAAGAAAGAATTCTTGCTGTGAGCCATGGCAAAGCACTGGTTTGGGGTGGTAGCTGATACTCACAGTAGTTCTTTTGCTTTATCTCCTTTGGTAACTTGAGGTTGATACTCATATAGAGGTAAGGGAGGAAATGCTGTCCTGTCTGACTGAATAAGGCTGAAATTTGATAGATTCCCTGAATGCAAAGTAGCAGTACATCACTCTGTGAAATACAAGTGGGATTCATTATCTACCTGAGAATTCACAAGTTATCGTGGTGTCCTTTAGTATTTCTGCTTCTAAAACTTTGTTATCTTATTTGTTGTTTCTTCTTCAGGCTTTTGATTGCCCTGATACTAGTCAATCATCCAGTTTAGCATATGTCCTGTGTACTGAAGGAGTTACAATTGTTCCTATTCACTGGGGATTTTCTCCTTCAACATTAATGGTTTTTTCCCTCACTTTTGAGCATTCTCCTGGTTGCTTGTTCAGTTTTTACTGAGCTAAGTGTGTATTTGATGATAGTTGCAGCTAGGTCTGTATGTGCTCAATTCTGCATAGCTGGGTGAACAGCAGCTTGTTTGCAATTGGTGTTGTGCTTTTACTGCACTGAGGGACGAGGGCTTTTGTTGAGGAGTAAAATCACTCTGGCTGAGTGGCTTGCAGACCAGAACAGAAGTGTGTCTGCCTGCATCCATATCTATTAATGTATCCTTAGGAATTCTACAGTTCTTTTAGAGACTCCACAGACCTGACATCACTCTACTTGAACTTTTCCTATATTAATGCCTGATATGAAGTAAGTGGGATTTTTGCCTTTCCCTTCCCAAGGACAAAGTATACTGATGGAGAACTTTTTTTATTCCTCCTTGGAAGGATCTATATTAAAAAGGTTCAAAAGTTTCCAGAATACAGGGTTCCTACTGACCCTAAAATTGACAAGAAAATCATAAGAATGGAGCAGGAGAAAGCATTCAACATGCTGAAGAAGAACTTGATAGATGCTGGTGGTGTCCTCAGGTGAAACTTATACTTTTTTCTTTATTTTCACAAATGAAGCAGAAAAAGAGCAGTATTCTACTTGGTCTTTTTTTACTTAGTCACTTATTAATAGTAAAAAAAATCCACAATGTCAGTAAGACTTCTGCAGCACTGAAGCATGAATTTGGTAAATGTGTTAAGCACTAAGCTATGGAACTTCAGCAGGTGTTTCCATGCAGGGTATTGATGGAAATAATTGTATTGTTTTGGGGTTGATCTAGTACATTTTGCATTGGAAGGTGTGAGAAGGCCCTGAGCTCTGAAAGATATCTTCTTGCTCAGGGCCTATAAAAACTTGTCACGCTGACTAGTTGTTGCTAGTTCTCAGACTGTTCCCTCAGGACAGTAATTTATTGCCTTTGTTTGAGAATTGTGTGTATAAACTCTCCTTCTTGCCAGGTGGTATGTACAATTACCTACTCAGCAAGCCCACCAGTATCATGAAATGGAAACTTCCTGCCTCCCTGCTTCACCGTCCCATCTTTCTATGTCTTCTCCTGAGGAGGAGGAGGAGGAAGTCATTAGAGATGAGAACAGTACTCTGCCTTCTCGACTTCACCCTCAAGTGGCAGACAAGATCCGAGAACTGGTGTCTCAGGGAGTAGAGCAGGTCTATGCAGTGAGGAAGCAACTAAGGTACAGAACTGTCTGCAGTGCTCTCAGTCTATAGTGCTATATCTACTTTTATATTTGATTAATTTGGTTTGCAGCTAAAGCACAGCTAAAGGGCAGTGCTGGTGCATTAGTAATCTAATTCCCAGATGTCATAAGTCTGTTTTTCCCAGCTGTTGCTATCTTTTCATGTCATTGTAGATAGCCACTAAGAGCTGCTGTACTCTTTAAAGTTACTTGAATAAATGTTAAAGTTACTTAATAAACTTCCAAATTATGTAGCTGATGCACAAAGAACTGGCACAGTAGATCATCTAGTTTACTTTTGTCTTGTCATTGCAACAAGGGGCGGGAGAAGGTAGCAGTGTCTCTTAACAGCACAAAATAGTGGAATATATTTAAGTATGGTAACAAATGTCCTTTAACATATGACAGAAAGTATGTGGAAAGAGAATTGTTCACACCTGATGAAGTGCCAGAAAGACATAACCTGTCCTTCTTCCCCACTGTGAATGACATCAAGAACCACATTCATGAAGTGCAGAAGTCCCTAAGGAATAGAGAGATGGTGTATAATTCAGAAAGTATCCCAGCAACGGTATGTTAGCCTTTGTGTATCTTTTTGATTTTTGGAGTTAAATACTGGAAATCTTAATTTTTACCACTTAGCTGTATTTCATCCAAAATTTTATGTGACTTTATATTTGTAGCAGCAATATTTTCAGTGGAATCTGTGGCTGAGTAAGACTGGATTAAATGTGAATAAACCTTCTGACCTTATTCAGTAGTTGTGCCGTCAGCATTAGATTGCTGTTAGTTGGTTGGCAAATAACCATATTAGCACTTCTTGATGACTGCATGAACTGAAAGCCATTGGTGTAGAAAAACTGACATGTGGCATAAAATTCTTTTGATGGCTTTGTTACTGTCTATGTTTTGAAGAAGTTACTACTACCTTTCAGTAGCTGAAAAAGTGAGGATGAAGTGTATCTTGGGTGCCATCCTAATTAGGACTTAATAAATATTTTGAATGTGTAAATAGTAATAAATGTACTTTATAGCAAGTGCAGTGAGGTTGGAGTTGAGTCTTCCAAATGCTCAGTAACTCCTAAGTTTTGTTCCTTAATTTTCTCCCATGTATTGAGTAATAAAGGGTACACAGTGATCCTAATTTTCCCAGTTATGAGACTAACTTCTAGGAAATGGCTGATTTAAAATTATCTTTGAAAACAGTACTGTTAAATCATGCTATGTCATCAGTATTTTCCCTCTCCCTACACTGGTATAGCCCAGGTGAGTGAGTATGTTTGTTAGTTAGCCAAATGGTTTGACTGTTTCCTATTTTAAAGTCATTTAACTGTTGTGAGCAGATAAAGCAGATAATCTTCCTGATACACAGTGCATGTTTAAAAATCTTTTACAGTACTTTTTTTTTTTGTGAATCAAGAGGTCCTAAAATGCATAATCATAAAAAAAGTAAAAAAATGTAGTTTTAGACACTGTTTCCTTGTCAGTGCTGTATAGAGCCTCTGTTCCTGTAGACAAGCTTGCACCATTTCTGAGAACCGAGTTGTTTTTCCTTTCAGCTGCAATGGACCACAGACAGTGGGAATGTCCTCACAGAAACAGTGACTGTTGCGTTTGCCTCACCACCTTCAGATGGTAGGACTGAATGTATAACCTGTGTCTCCAAATGTGTTTTATTAGCTATGTCACAGAAGTTCATTTTCCCTCCTGGGAGGTTGCTGTCATGTCCTGTCACTCAGGTGAACTTAAGAATGATTATTTTGCTATAACTATTTTATTGGTTTTTTGGGTTTTTTTTGTGTTTGACTCCATGTGTAGAAAAAATATGCATAGTTGTGATGTTGTTGGCAGAAGTATTGAAAATATCAATTTGGCTTTTATTTAGCATCTTTAAGTAAACAAAAATTTTAATGGGATGGTTGTCTGGAAAGAGTGTTTTTTGTTGGATGAAGGTGCTAATAATACCTCTTTAGAGAGAATTAAGTTACTACTGGATAGATATATCTGTTAGGGGACACAATACTAGGATCCATTAGGGCACTTGAGTTTCCAGGTGGTTTGTGCTTTACATGTCTTTAAATGTCTTGCTGAAAGGGACTTCAATGCACATTGAGACTCCTGTTTCTCAAAAGTCATTGTCCTGATGAGTTCCAGTGCTAGGATCAGGCACTGAAGAACAAGCACTGTATTTCAGTTGTTGGAATTAAAAGCAATCTTTTCCACTTTTCCTTGATGCTTAGAACAGAAGTAGAAACACGGGTGTTAAATGGCAGCAGAGCTGAAAGATGTATTTCTTCAGTTCTTTGTGATGTAACTTCCTTCATTAATGTGGCACCCAAGTATCATCTCTTCCCAGTGATTGTTTGGCTTCCTAGTCTGTTGCAAAACTAGAGTGTAGATATGGTAGATTTCTCTATCAACTTACTTCTATGCATTCTTGGTTGAAAGACTGTTTTTTTGTAGATGTTACGCTGTTTTTTCTTCATTGAAACTGGGTTCCTATTACTCTTATTTCAATTTCAAAACATGTACTAAGACAAAATACAGGTGTTTGTAACTAGATCTACTTGCTACCCACATAGAATTACACATAGGCTAAGATGTTCTGTTGAATTATGGTGGCTGGTAGTAAATTTAAATAAGATTATTCTGCCCTTCCCACCCTTGTTTCAAGAATATTTTGTCTAATGTGACACCAGAAGAACTTTTACTCGTGTTTGTAGATGCTTTCCCTATCCTCTGTGTAATAGGTTTGACGTGAAATTCATCAGAACTATCGCTGGCTTTTAGCAGGGATATGACTGAAGTGAGGTGGAAGAGCCTAATTGTGTGCACATGTTCAGATCATGCTGCAGACTTTGCAGATGTTTTTAATCTCAGTAGCAGAGCCAGCTGGTTTCCCCATTTAAACTCAAAATTGGTGGTGGGTACATTTTGTTCTGGACAGCTGATAGAGAAGCTTACAGAGACCAGAGGGGCACTGGCCACAGTTGTCATGGTCAGGGTTTACTTGTGTCAACAGTTATCCTGTGGTTCTTGACTGAAAAAGTCCTGATGTGTTTGTGTCCCTTTCCCCTTAGGTCAGGAAGTAACATGGGCCAATTTCTTATTTGTTGTAGCAAGAAATATAAACCCTCAGAGGTTTGGCTCACTGCATGGGTTCTCCTCAACGACATGGTGAACCTAATTTCTGTGAATCAGTTCCATGTACACCAGTGCATTTACTGTTACAAAAAGGCAAAGTCTGGGCTCTGTTTCATTTGGGATTTTTAAACTTATTTTGACTGTTGCTGCAATGGATTAATTTGAACTGAATAGCATTATGTATGCTTGGTACTTTTAGGGAAGAATTCCAATGTTTACAACTGTGAAAGTACAAGAGGTTAATTTTTAGATTCAACTTGAACAGTGTCCCTCTTTTTTAAGGAAGTCTTGTTTTTTAGGAAAAGAAATTAATTTGCAATGTGAACAGACTTAACTGTGCTTAAGTTTGCATGCCTGTGTTAATATTGGCATTACTGTGCTTTTATGGAGAGACACAGGATAGTTGTGCCTTCAAGAGCTCAACAGCTGTGGTAGAGGTCATCAAGGATGACTTTTGTATGAACTCTATACATATTTGTTTTAATTTCAACATATATATTTTAATATACATATTTGTTTTAATTTCAACTTGTGCCAAATGGAGACAACTGCACATTTAAGAAATTAGGCAGTAACAGAACTTGTTTGTGCAGAATGCCTTATCTCCATGTGATACAACTTTCTTCGTAGCAAGTAGAGGAGAAGTTCATTACCATTTTTCCTGGGGGTGTTGCTGTAGAATACAACCCAGGGAGAGAACAGCTGTATCTTCCTGCATGTGAACATTCACATATGCATATGGGATCTCTGTATAATATTCAAAAGAGTCTAAATATTTGAAGTACTTGAGTTCAAGAAGATTTATAGGTTTGTATGTCTTTTCCAGTCAGTTGCGATAGTTAAGAGTCTGCAGATGATTACATATGTTGAAAAATCTACCTCCACTCAGATTGCTGGAAAATTTTCCTATGATTTTGTGGTAGAAAATGTTTTGCAATTGACCAGTCTCAATTTTTTTGCATTCACCAGACTAGTCTGCATTGATAGGGCAAGTTCTTCTATTACCTCCGTAACAGTGGAACTGAGAAATAAGAAGCTGAGCAGTGTCTGCCTGTGTCTGCATAAAGTTTAACTAAAATGTTCTGGGTGGCTCAAACAGGAAATGGAATGATCTCATGAGAAGTTTTCTTGCAGAAATTGTTATAAGCAAATCTCAATTTTTGCCAAACTTCAGGAGATGAAGTCCAACGGTCTTGCATTAAATAAGAATTTTGAGGATATTATATAATCTGTAGGCTGAAAGACCTCCAGATAAATGGACTTTGGATGATATTGCATAGAAGTTATGCTGGTTTTGCAAAGATGGGAAGGGAGTGGTGAGACAGAAAAATTCCTCTGTAGATTTTTATTTTGAAAGACAACCCTTTCTTTTGATACATGTGTGTTTTTAAGCCCTTACTCAGGTATAGATATTGTCAAATTATTTGCTGCTTTGCTAGAAACGTTTCAGCTTTTATTTTCTAACTACAATTTTGAAGCATAGTGTAGGGTGTAATTCAAGAACATATTTATTTTGCTGCCTCTGGTTTTTGTTCTGTACAGATACATACAAACTTCCTGCAGTTTTGTCTTTTTGTCATACCTAGTCTTATTCTTTAGCTCCAAGTTCTGCAAAGAGAACAGCATATATGTATGTATATATGTGTCCTCTGTATATCTGTATTGAGATTGAAGGGAGTTTGGTTCACAGGGAAGGATTTGGTTCACAGGGAAGGAAGAAGAGATTTGTCATAACTGTCTGCTTCTTTACTTTGATACTATAGGGAGCTCAGGAGTGGAGTCAGTCATCACCAAAGCAGAATCCAACCAGAGCGGGGAGTCCTTGATACCAGAAACAGCTCAGCTCATGTCTTCATTCTCTTCACTTCAGCCCAAGATATTTGCACAACTTCAGGTACAGTCAAGTCATTTACAGAACATCAAACATGAAGTGCTGAAGGCAAGCTGAGAACAGCAAGTTCCCTCTCAGCTGATCCCTAACATAGCTGGCTAACACTGGGACTTCAAAGTAGCTGTCAGCTCCTACTCTGGTTGTTCTTCATGTCACATTTAGCTGTGGTGCAGGGAATCCCACTGCCGTCTTTTGACGCTTTCAAGTTAGGGTCTCTTGTGAAGGCAAAACCAAGAGGATAAAAGCAGTGGGTTTCTACCTCAAACCAAGTACCTGTTCATTTGCCCCATGGTCCAGTAATTTCATAATGAAAATTCTGCAAAACTGCAGGGAGATAAGACAGTCTTGTTTATTCTTTTTAAATCCTTCTCCAGCCTCTTAAGAAAATACCTTAAAATCCTGAAACTGCTCCTGGGTCATAGCTGTAAACTTGCAGGTTGAAAGGCTGAAGAGGGAGGGAGGGATAAGAATGTCATGCTAAAAGAGCTTCTTCTAAAGTTTATCTCCCTTTGAAGCTGGCTCTCTTATCCCTCTTCCTTAACTTCTTTGAAAATCTGCCTTCATATTTCCTGAACCCCAACAAAATGCATGATCTTTTCCCTAGATATACAATCTGTAGTAAGATTCTATTCTACTTGCTGTTTTTTCTCTTCCTGAGGGCAGCCTGACTCCATCTCACATAATTTTATTTAAAGTAGTGTACTTAGCTTGTAGTACCCACCTCTTGTGGGAATGGGCAGTACTGGGTAATGATCTGAAACTGAATATCAATCCAAAATTAGAACTTTATGGTCATAAGCAATCTTCTAAATGCTGCTGGATTCCATTGTCCTAATTGTTTTCAAGTACATTTTGGGCCTAGAGTTGCTGGGATTGAGTGTTCAGAAGAGTTAATGAGTAGGAAGTCAAAACCTAGACAATACATGCTGTTAAATGCAAACTCCTTCTGCTGTAAATGCTGCTGTGTTGGTACTTCTGCCTTCTCTTTCACAGGGGTTACAGCTGCAGTCAGCATTTACCTCAACAAACGGATCAGCAGCCCTGCTAGCTGTAAATAACCATTCCCCTCCCAGCCCTGCAGGTCTCCTGGATTCCCTGGGGGGTGCAATAGGCAGCCATTCTCTAACATTGAGTCAGGGGCACAGTCTGCAAGCAGGTGCTGGCCTAACACAGGACAGTGCTGCTGCACCTGCTTTTGGGGCTCTGCCTGCCTCTGATCAGAGTCTGGTTGCCATGGGCCAGCTGGTACCAGCTGAAGGGGTGGATGACTCCAGGGGCCTGGAAGGAGGAATGCATCAGATTCTCTTGGGGGATGTGCAGACTATTCCAGTACGGATTGTGGACAACCAGCCAGCACTTTGTAAGTTGCAGTTTTCTCAATAATATGTTTTAATAAATATTAGGATAGAGAAAATAAAGTGGATTTTGTTCTGTGTGTCTTCAAAAAAGGAGACAAATGTGTTGATAGTGGGGAACTCCAAGACAGACTTCTTTCAGACAATTCTAATCATTCTAATTCTAATTCTATTTTTTTTATTTTTCCATGGGAAAGAGGAAAGATGTTTTTTGTGAGTGATTTTAGATCTCCAAACATTTTTTTTATAAATTGGTTTAAATATTGTTACTAAGGGGAGCCTTACTGCAGTAGGTTCATGTCAACTTGCAATGTTTTAGAGCATAGTAGGTGACGTAACTGGCTGTCAAGCTAAAAAGCTGTAAACTTCCTATATGCCTTAACCATTAGCTTGAGTTCCTGAAATATTTTTCTTTTAAATGCACAGTTATTGGGGCTGAAGCATTGTCAATGGAGTTTAAACTTCAATGTTTGATTTTTGTTTTGTTTTTAAGCTGAAGAAAATACAGAGGGTGTTGCTACTTGTGTGAGCCAAGTTAAACAAGAAACAAAAGAAAAAGCATTGTCTATGGAAACAGATAAAATCAGAGACTGCCACAGTTCCTCACTATAGTTCTTCGCCTTCACCTGTGAAGCCTGGAAGAATTTTTCAAATTGGAGAACTCTAAATGTCTTGGAAGGAAAGGCAGGTGCTCTCAAAGTACTGCCATTCTTTTTTGATTGTGTTATGACACTCAGACTAAGCATATTTTAGAGTGCTTCTGACAGAAAGCTCTTTTGGTTTGACTGAGGTCGCTCACTGCCAACTCCAGGTCATTCAGTTGCCCCATGGAACACCACCTCTCTCTTCTGTTTCAAGTTTTGAGTAATTTGGATTCTATCGAAATGGCCCATTTTGTTCATTGTTTCTGAAGGTCTTCCACAATTTAATTCCTTAGCTTTAGAATGTGAATCACAATGCTGGGTTCACATGTTCTCCTTGAGACCCTTGACTCTTATTGTACTACAGAAACCATAGAGTCTGTCAGTTCCAAGATCACAGAATCCAACTGCAAAGTGGATCAGTATGGCAATGGTTTTGTGACAAAAGGAAGGTCCAGAATGCTAAACCTCAAAGTGATAAAGGACATGGATGCTTAAGAAAATGCAACTTTGACCTGATCATAATGTTAATGGTGTGAAGATCAAGGAGAGGAGAAAGGTGAGGTTTCCAGGTGAACATAAATGATAAAGAAAAGTGTATGAATTGTAATGGTGAATGTTTTTGACTTGACATCTTTGAACTTAAGTTCTGGCTTTATAATGAGGTTCATTGATGCATGCAGCCTTCCTTTGCAGCAATACTGTAATTGCAGTTGGTTGTAACAGCTAAATGTAGGAGTCTGTCTCATGGAAAATGATTGATGCTGCCATTTCAGCTTATCTACCTCTTGCTTTGTGCACTTAAAGCTATCATCTCAGACAAATGTGATTTAATCTGCTGTTGTTTGGTATGTAGGGCTTGTGGATACATTCTTAAGAAAGAGAAGCCCAAGAAAACAAAGGAAGTAATCAAAGCAATATGTCCAAGTTTGCTGTCATCGCAGTATTTAGAAAACAAACTAATCTTTTTCAAAAGTGACATATTCTCAGACTTAGGTGGTCCATACAATCAAAATAATTACCAGGAATGTTTAGAAAATGGAATGTGATAAAAATTAAGGTTTAGTAATATTTGAGTTAAAGCCATAGTAACTGAGCTGTGTAATGTGACAGACATTTCCTTTAGAAAAAAAAATCGCACCTACAAATAACTTTGAATCAATTTAAAGCTGTAAATGAAGTGAAACTGGTAACGACATAGATATCAAGTTAAGCAATTGTATTGTTTTCTTCAGATGTTGAATTCCTAGAGCAACATTCAGAGTAGTTTCTATACAGCAATAGGAGCCTTTCTGTTATTAGTTCCTGCTAAGTGGTTGAGAGCTTGATCATAAAATAGGTTTTTTTCGTGCATGTTGTGGAAGAATTCAGTGAGAGGACTTCTCTCTTTTTCAGACTTAAAACAAAGAACCCCAGCAAAATTATTAGTTCATTTATGTAGAGAAGAAAGTGTTGTATTATATGAACCACAATATTAACATTTTTAAATTATTACTTTACCTTACATTCAAGCATTCTCAAACATCATCTAAACAGTGGCCATTTAAAATTATTTTTTCATTTTCTTTTGAGTATTTAAGCCTAAAACTTTTGAAAGTCTTACATTGAACTTGTGTTCCAAATGCCTTTATGTGCAAGATCTGTTAGGTGCTATATCTTAGTCTTAACATATATTAACTTCTCTGAGGTTAACTAATATAGTAAACATTACTTGTTTAAAGCTAATGTTTATGGGTTAGTTCCCATTAGAATTTTCCAACAGGATTATGCTCTTATTAAATATGAACCAGTATTTTATCAAGAAAGAGCATAAAAAAACCTCCAGTTTTTTTTGGAGCCTCTAATATTTAGCATCTACACTGACTTGTTTAATGGTATGCTTTACTCATTCCTGTGTAGGAAAAAATCCCACAAGTTTCACATGTGGCATTTATTTATTTGGTTGGGGTTTTAAATCTTGCTTTATTTGTTTGTTGGTTGTGTTTTTTGGTAGGTTGTTGTGTTAATTGTATGAATATCTCCCAGATGGATGTTGTCTGCTGCAGTGTTAGTTCTGGAGCACTCAGTCAGCAGTCCCCTTCTCTTTTCCAGCTCAAAAACTGCATACCAGAATGGGTACCTCCTTCCATACTACTATATTCAATAAATCCATAATGGCCAGTTTTTCTTTAAGTTTAAACTGTTGCATTCTAACCTACATTCTCTTTCCCTAAATTGCTCTTTTTTTGAGAATTTTTCCTCATTGTTGAGAATCCTTCTTTTCAAAAGAATAAATTACAGCTAAAGATTACCAGCAAGAGGTTATTTCAGTTTTAGTTCTTTTCAAAGCAGACAATACATTTGTGATTGGAGTAAAAGCTTAGGGAAAGTCAAGTTATGTTTCCATCAGTTCTTGCTTAGTTCCCTCACTAACAGTTCTGGTTTTAGCACAGTTCTTTCCAACACGAGCTACAGTCTCATCCTGTGCTGCACAGTATTTCTGATGGAATTCTAGTTTTGACCTAGTGCTTACAGCTAGAGAAAACACTCTTTTAGTCCATCTTAAATTCAGGTTCTGAAATTAATTTTGTATTCTATCCTGATTTGCATGGTACTCTGAAAACAATCGAAGAAAAAGTCGGAAGTTTTAAAGAAGCAGTAAAGAATTAGTTGTTTTTAAAAGCTGGGGATTAGACTTGCAATTCTGTTATTATTCTGTTTATTGGAAAATTTATTTTAAATGATTCTTGAGTCAATACTCACATTTTTGAATTCAGTTTTCTTCATTTACACAGAATTTCAGTTCTTTGTCTTCCAGATATATATATATATCAGTTTATTGCTGTGTTGTTTGTTTTATTCAATGTAATTATTTTTGAAAGTGTGTTTTACATTTGTTTTGTGCATGATGCTAAAGGAGGAACTTGAACTCATCCCCCATGTCCAGTCTCTATATTCGATTTAATGCCTTTGTTCACTGATATCCACCTACATTTTACAGAGAAGACTGTTACATGTCTGAAAAAAATCAGAAGTAAATGCTGCCACGTTCAATGGTTAAAGTTGTTTAAATAGAGTACTCAAGTCTGATTTTCAGAGTAATCTATTTAGCTTGACACAAAGTACTTGCTTATTACTTGGTGTTGGAATTGCAGACACTTTTCTGATGTTTACTTTGTTTTCTTGTGGTTATTGTGTGCAAACACTTATTTTGCAAACCTAGAATTCCTGACCTTCAACAGTACTGTAAATGAATAACTGATTCTCCAGTTATCCTTGATGTTGTTTGCTTTTCAAGAAGAGATGTGCTTCTATATGTGCATGCAAAAATAACCTTTTGGTAAAATGTAGAGGTGTAAAAAGGTACACATCTATAGCTCTCATTGAAGGCTGGAGGCCTGTTGTATGGAAATTAGTACTGGTAATGAGTGTTTTTTGTGGTACAAAATTATTGCAGTTTCCACAGAATTTAGAGGCACAAATGTCTGTGTATGTATGTGTATATATTTTTTTTCTATAGTATCTTAATGTATAATATTTCTATTCATATGTAAACTACTTGTTCTTTTAAAGTACTGGTCTATTTTATAGCTATGGGGGTTCATGGGGAGAAATGCAAGAGCTCTTTCAGGACAGTGGATTTAAGGGATGATGGAGAGCAAATAGGACAGCTCCAGGGAGAACAGGTGGAAGAAGCTCTTGGAAAGCAAGCATCCTGCTGGGAGGGCTGATGGGGGCTGTGCCTGGGGGGCTTTGGGGTTGAGACCCCAAAGGTTCAGTGCAGTTCCTGAGTCTGTCCATAGTCCTCTCTATGCCACCAGTGGCTAGTGTGAGTTCATGGTAGGAATTTAAAGGTATGAAGAAAAGGGAAGTCTGCCCTGCCCTTAAAAACAGAAAAGTTGCTTGAGTTTTGGTGAGCATCAGAGGCAGATAAATTACTCCCCATAGTTTGAGTTGCCCATTCTTAGTTTCTAATATGAAGAAGAAACTCCTGTCGGAGCTTCAGCCCGGGCTGTAGACTTTTTTCTTTACCTGTTACCAAGGAAAACAAACTTTATCTTTCCAACTGAATTAACCTGCTGCTTTTCTCATCCCACTGACTGCAGCTCAGTATCTTCCCAAATGTCTCTTTCTTCACACTTAAGACTTCCATAGAGATCACAAGCCTTCAGGCCTTACAATTCTCAGTGTTTCACTGTTGGACTGTTGAAGGAGCTGCTGAGTTCACTGTACAGGTAGACACTGGTGAGCTTTGCCCCATCAGTTTTTCTCCCTCCTTCCCCACAATCATAAGTACATATGTTCCTTTAAATTGCATTAAGATTTTTTACTTGCTTGCATAGGGGTTTATCAGCATTACTGGGATGAGTATGAAGGAGCCCCATTTCACAGACCATTTACATTCACAGCAACTGAAAAGATTTGATAAAATGAGGAAATTATGGTTTCGGCCAGCTGTTAGGGCTGGCCTCTTTCATACCACTTGAATTCCTGATTCTGGCAGTGGACAGTAGATGCCTGTTGTTTGTCTGTTGGCAAAAGTGCAATTTTCTCCCTTAAGATTATTCAAGCAGATAGGTTCTCAGATGTTTAGGTAGGAAGAATCTGTTGATTAGGGATAGAAAGTGTGATACAGCTGAGGATGGTGCTGGGAAAAGTTACTGCTCTTTATGGGTCTCTGGTGAGAAAATAATTTTTGATCTGCCTTCCCTTTCTGAACAAAGCTCTCATAGGAATAGACTTCAGAGCCTATCCCATCAGTAACAATTATCTTCTCCCAACAACAATGCACCTCA